TATTTATGACATATACAATCTTATATAAAAACAGTATATTTATGCAGCATTCCAGTAATCTAGGACTAGGACTAAGAAGACGGAAGAGATTCAGGGTGGAGTTCAGAAGTAGGGTTGACAGGATGTAGCGGCCCTACAATGATATAATGAGAAGACGAAGCTACGAAAGATGATACTGATGTCCCAGAGCTGAGAAAGAGATGGTTAGCAACACAGCTCACTGAACTAGAGAGGCCAAGAAGAGAAAGCAGGCTGGGAGTCGGGGGAGGGCCAATAAAGAAATGTTTTGGCGTAAAGGGGTTTGAGTCACGTCAAAACGTAAAATGCTGCAAGAGAGAAATGACATAACAACAGAATTGATTAACGAAAAGGAAACAGAACTTGGAAAACTGGAAAATTCTCAGCCTATCCATATTATGAAAAATGAGAAAGTAGTCAGCAGAGAACACTAGAGGTGTGGTCAACTTAGCTAGAAAACTATCCAGAAAAACAAGGAAATAATTATCGCAGTACTGCTTTCCTGGTGCCAAGGAAAAGCGGGCTTCTGATTGGAAGGTGTTACTACATCACTTTATTTAAATAATAAAAAATCGGTGGAAACCAGCATTTCATAAAATAGAAAATAGGGTAGTGTTTCTATACAGTTTTAAATGGTGCTACAGAAAAAACCTTAAAGACAAGAAAATATGTTCAAAACATACCATTAAGTGAAATGTAACAAAATGTGTCCTTTGGGATAGTTCCAATCTTTTTTTCCATTTTTTAAAATCGAAGTATAGTCAGTTTTACAATGTTATGTCAGTTTCACAATGTTATGTCAGTTTCACAATGTTATGTCAGTTTCTGGTGTACAGCATAATGTTTGTCATATAGATGCATGCATGTATTCGTTTTCATATTCTTTTCCATTATAGGTTACTGCAAGTTAGAATATAGTTCCCCGTGCTCTACAGTATGAACTTGTTGTTTGTCTGTTTTATATATAGTAGTTAGTATCTGCAAATCTCAAACTCCCAATTTATTCCTTCCCACCCCCTTTCCCTCCTGGTAACCATAAGTTTGTTTTCTACATTTGTGAGTCTGTTTGTTTTATAAGTTCATTTGTGTCTTTTATTTCAGATTCCACATATGAGTGATATCATATGGTATTTTTCTTTCTCTTTCTGGCTTACTTCACTTAGAATGGTGATCTCCAGCTCCATCCATGTTGCTGCAAATGACATTATTTTATTTTTTTCAAAGAAGGTAGGAAGAAAGAGGAATGACAAAGTGAAGCTTTAGCTCTATCTGCAATTATTTGTTTCTGTTTTTTTTTAAAGAGCATTTAACTTTAACATTTCTAAATATTTTTTAAATTTTACAAAACAAGTAAAATTTGTAAATAGAAATATACATACATTAGAAGAAAATAAAATAAAGGAGAATATTATGTAATTCAGATTTCAGATTGAAGTGGGACATCTTAAAATAGAAAGAAAACCCCGAAGCCTTAAAGGGATTGCTGACAGACATGACTATATTAAAATTTAAAACTCTACTGGACAAGAGTCATAAAAAATTAAGAATAGAAAGGCATTCCAGTAGACAAATGGGTAAAAGATATGAAGAACCAGATCAGCAATAAAATAAATACAATTAGCCAATAAACATTACCAAAAAAAAAAAACAAATCCTGTAATCTCCCTAGGCAACCATAGAAACAACAATTCTATCACAGATGACTTTTTAAAATTCTTAATTTGGTAATATTTTTCTTAAAGGGTATTATTCACTGCAGTGGACCTATGGGGAAATAAGTGCTCTCAAACCTCATTGGTGAGACTATAAATTCTCTTTAGAGATAATCCAACCATGACTAATAAAATCTAAAATGAACGTGTCTTGTTGTAGACCAATTCCACTTAAGAATCTATCTCATAGGAGTAACAGCACACAGTCCACTAAAATACCGTGTGCAAGAAGGTTTATTGCAGTGTCATTTGTAATGGAAAAAAATCTAGAAACTGTGTAATCAGACAATGACTGGCGTATCTATGCATTAAAATTATTCATCTATTGAAAAGAATAAGTTAGATCTACTTTAATTGGCCTGAAAAGATGTCCATGATAAATTGTTCAGTTAAAAAATAGCAAATTACAGAGTATGATTTTGTTACTGGAAATAAAAAGCCATGTATATGTGTGTGTATATATATGAATGGAAAATTAACAAAAGGATACTCATCAAATTGTTGGCAAGCAAATCAAAAAAGTTGGTACCTCACAGGGAAGGAATCACAGGTGAAGAGGCAATTATTAATATTTTCTTTGTGTATCTCTGTTGTTTTCACCTTCTAAGTGGAGACTATATGTATAACAAAAATTATACATAAAATGTAGGTGATTATGACTATTATAACTTGGTAGGAGAAAAATTTTAAGAGAAAGATTGTCCAAGAAATATGTAAATCGTCACAGAATGAGCATACATTTCTCATACGAATTTAAATACATTTCTCTGCCTATTGACCAGGAACATCATGTGAAGAAAGATGAGTTCCTCCAAGAAAAAAAAAAAAGAAACCTGTTGGTCCACATTTTTCTGTTCTCTCTTCCTCCTGAGTATAATCAGGAAAAAGGCTGCCAAGCTGGCAGATTTTGTGTGCCCAGGTCAATGGCTCTCTTAGACGCATAGAAATCTCTCAGTGCCCCCATGTGGGTTGCCCAGGGTGCCATCACTTGCTCCTAGTGATGGTCTAATGGAGCCAGGCATCCACCTACACTGCTACTCGCCAGTTGGTGAGCTACTGCTCGTTGATGGATGTCACCAAGAGAAAAGACTCCTTCCTGTTAGGGACCCTCAGGGAGTTGGCTGGGGTGCTTTGGCACGGTAAGTGGCAGTGGTGCACCTATTATCTCTAAAGCTAACTTTTTCACAGGGAGGATTTGAAGAATACTTCTGTGCCATTGAGCATTTCCAGGAGGACTGTCCTATAAACAGTCCAGCAGTTTCTTATTCCAATGTAGCCTTATTTATTATTTACCATTCAGTAACACCTTTACATGGTTCTCTCTGCAAGGACTTTGCTGTTCTACGGGAAGGCATGTAACTGTGCCTAATTCATTCTGATACTTCTGCTGGTCCCTTCCTAGGTGTTTTCCTCTTCTGAGCCTCTATTCCAAGATCGCCAGTGAAGTATTATGGTCTTTCTCACGTCCTGCTGCCCTACTTTTTAAAAAATCAAATCTTTGTAATATTAAATGTTTTCAAAATATTTTATTAAATCAGTGTCATCCCTTTATGGGAATAGAATATAAATCTTTAGTACCACAATAGGATTAGGGATACAATAGTAAATAAGACACAGCTCTTGCCCCAAGAAGTGTACAGCGCAAAAGGGAAGGCAGAGAAGTAGCCAGACAATTATGTCCCAGATCATACAGCATTCCTAGTGTATCAGTCATCTTTAAATTAAAGATTCCTGCCTGCCTGCCATGTACTCACCAATGATCTTAATCTTCTACTAATTATTTCTGCTATCTAAAGCACAACTGAAAAGTTTACTGTTCAATATAAATATTCACTAGAAATGTGATGCTTAACATTTGGGAGACATAGATCACTTTGAGAAAATTTACAAAATATTTACTAAGAAAAAATAAGAAACTTATGAATACTCTACGAAGAAAAGACCTTACATAAGTAAGATAGTTTCCATTGTTTTGTGACTTCCTAAGGACCCAGGAATCAAAGTAAATGTCCACATTCTGAATCACACAAAGCTTTTATCCTGATATGAAGTCAAATCACATAAAAGCAGTATAATAAATTATATTACTTTAGAACCCCCAGGAGGAAGTCCTTACAGATTATAGTTGAGCATTATTATGCCCTTGACTTCAGTTTGGAACTATTGAAAAACAGTATCTACATATGGACTTATATTGAACTTTTAAAGAGTTATGATCAAAGACAGCCAATTATTTGATCAAGATCTCTTATAAAAATATGCAACATAACATCCTTTCCAAATTCAAAGATTTTAATGACATTTAAAATTAAGGGTATTGAGAACCGTTGAGTGGCAGAATTGGGAACCTCAGAATTCCTAGCAGGACTAAGGGCAGGCATTTCTCTCCTGAAGGCAGTTAGTTTGGATGGGAGGAGGTGACTGCTACTTCACTTGGAAAGACCACAGCACAAAACTCAGAAAATGAAAAATCACTCCCTTACACCATACACAAAAATAAACTCAAAATGGATCAAAGACTTAAACATAAGACAAGATACAATAAACCTCCTAGAAGAAAATATAGACAAAACATTATCTGACATACATCTCAAAAATGCTCTCCTAGAACAGTCTACCCAAGCAATAGAAATAAAAGCAAGAATAAACAAATGGGACCTAATGAAACTTACAAGCTTCTGCACAGCAAAAGAAACCATAAGTAAAACGAAACGACAACCTACGGAATGGGAGAAAATTTTTGCAAATGAAACCAACAAAGGCTTGATCTCCAGAATATACACGCAGCTCATATGACTTAATAAGAAAAAAAAACAATCCAATCCAAAAATGGGCAGAAGACCTAAACAAGCAATTCTCCAAGGAAGAAATACAAATGATCAATAGGCACATGAAAAAATGCTCAATATCACTATCAGAGAAATGCAAATCAAAACTACAATGAGGTATCACCTCACACCAGTCAGAATGGCCATCATTCAAAAATCCACAAATGACAAATGCTGGAGAGGCTGTGGAGAAAAGGGAACCCTCCTACACTGCTGGTGGGAATGCAGTTTGGTGCAGTCACTGTGGAAAACAATATGGAGATTCCTCAAAAGACTAGGAATAGACTTACCATAGAACCCTGGAATTCTGCTCCTGGGCATATATCCAGAAGGAATCCTACTTCAAAAAGACACCTGCACCCCAATGTTCATAGCATCACTATTTACAAAAGCCAAGACATGGAAACAGCCTAAATGTCCATCAACAGGTGACTGGATAAAGATGTGGTATATTTATACAATGAAATACTACTCAGCCATAAAAACCGACAACATAACGTGATTTGCAGCAACATGGATGTTTCTGGAGAATGTCATTCTGAGTGAAGTAAACCAGAAAGAGAAAGAAAAATACTATATGAGATCGCTCATATGTGGAATCTAAAAACAAAACAAAACAAAACAAAACAAAACAAACATAAATACAAAACAGAAACAGACTCATAAACACAGAATACAAACTTGTGGTTGCCAAGAGGGCGGGGGGTGGGAAGGGATAGACGGGATTTCAAAATTGTAGAATAGATAAACAAGATTATACTGTATAGCACAGGGAAATATACATAAGATCTTATGGTAGCTCACAGAGAAAGGAATATGACTGAATTATATATATGTTCACGTATAACTGAAAAATTGTGCTCTACACTGAAATTTGACACAACATTGTAAAATGATTATAAATGAATAAAAAATGTTTTAAAAAAAATGAAAAATCAAAGAAACGACACCACCAGAGGATCCCAATTCTGAGGTTTCCTCAGACTGGCTATGACTGCTCATGCTTCTTGCTCCCTCTTGTGGCAGAACTCTTAAGCCTTCGTGCCTTCCAGATGCTGCAATGCACCAGGCCAGGTGTTTACAGCCTCCTTTTTGCTTCCCCAGGGCTGGCACTAAGGCTCCAGTCTGTGGTCTCTGGCTGGCCCACAGGTTCAGGCTGGCTTTCTGCACATGCTCACTAGCCATCTTCCAAAGCTTGCCTTTGCCACTGCCATTGGGAACATGCACAAGGAGGCAGTCAGCTACAGGGTTGAGGTGCATGGAGGGCTAGGGCTGCCTGTGGACTGGTTCGGGGGATGCACAGGTGACACACCCCAGGGGCTCATGGCTGGGCTTCCTGGTAGAATCTCAGTGCAGTTAGCAGGATCTGCATCCCCTTAATGTGCTCCAAGAGTCTTGTAACCACCCTCCCGGCCTCTTTCCTCCCTCTAGTCATGCAGCTCATAATCCAGTATTCTGCTTAGGGTGGGTAGGGTGAGAGAGAAATGGGTCTCTGGCAGAACCCTGCATAGCGAGGGAAGCCAGGTGCTCACTCACACCTTCTCACTTTCCTCTGCAGGAGAACCAGCCAAATCAACATACAAAGATCAGCTGTGTCTCTACACGCTAACAAACTATCTGAAAAAGGGCAGAAGTAAACAATTCCACTTACAATAGCATCAAATGAGTAATATACCTAGAAATACATTTAAACAAGGAAGTAAAAGATCATTGCTCTGAAAACTATAAAACATTGATGAGAAACTGAAGGAGATACAAGTAAATGGAAAGAAATCCTGTGTTCATGGATTTGAGGAATTAATACCATTAAAAAGTCCATACTGTCCAATGTGATGTACAGAGTCAATGCAATCCTTAATAAAATCTCGATGGCATTTTTCACAGAAAGAGAAAAAAATCCCAACATTTTTAAAGAACCACAATTATACCTCAGTAAAGCTGGGGAGGAAAAAGTCATCAAGAATGGTT